ATTCATAAGCTGATTCATAAGAATCTCAAGTTATAAATAATAAACAAAAAAGTTTAAATTAAATAGAAATAATTGGATGGTTGATAAACTTAATTTAATTATTTATAGATATATAAAATAAATAAAATTTGCATATAAAATTTGAACTAATTTCATTTCAATTAACTAAAATCTAAATTATCTAAAAAAAGAATTAGTAAATTGATTAATTAATAATTACGCTATAAGTGATTGAAATGATTGAAATGATTAAAAAGTTGTAAACTGTAAATATTTACAATTGCTTATATGCATACTTATGCGTCTGTGTGCGTGTGGACGTGTGCGTGTGTGTGTAGGCATGCGCGTAGGCATGCGTGTGCGTGTATGTGTAGGCATGCGTGTGCGTAAGTGTGGGTGTGTGTACAAGTGTTTTTTCATAATAAACACATCTTCTATTCTTCTAATTAGTGTTTGTAATTTTGATTTTAGTTAGAATTTAATTTTGAACTAACATTTTCCAATCCTAATTTATGACTGGTACCAGATATGTTTACGAGCAAATAAATTATCATTCGAAAAATGAACATAAAATGATTAACAATAAAAAATATTAAATTAAAATTATTAAACACAAGATATGATTAATATTATATTGAAATTAATAATTAGTAGTATGATAAAGAGGTGTTAATAAAATGATAAAGAAATGATAATAAAATGGACAAATTGGCATGATTTATATTTATTATAATTAATAGTTGATAATCCAATTACATGTCTGTGTCTAATTAATTTTATTGCTTAATTAATTTTAATAGATTAAAATTGACAACTGTCAATTACTAATTAAATGATTGAAAATTTTAATCGATGCAAATTTTTTCTCTCTGTTTTTCTCCCTTTCTTCCTCTTTCTTCTCTTTCTCCTTTTCTCTCCCTCTCACTCTCTGCACGTGTCATCGAATTTTCATAGCAATTATTCAAATTTATTTAATTTGAAAATATGATATTGCAATTTAAGCTTAGCCGTAATATGAGGTAGAGAATTATTAAACAGATAATATAACCGGAAGCATTTTAGAATAGCTTAATAACTTTCATAAATTTATTAAATTCATTAAAAGCTGATAAAGCTTAAATTCTTCCTTTCCGTTTACTGTGAAAATATTTCAAATTTCAAATCTAAAAATTTCAATAAGTAAGAAAAATTACGTAATTTAAAAAAATGAAACTGATAATATAATAATTGTTTCTGATAATTAATCTTTTATTCAACTGATAATTATTGTTTTATTCAACTGATAATTATTAATTTGCTTAACTTGAAATTATATCCAATATGTATTAAAAGAGATAATTAATATTTTATTCAACTGATAATTATTGTTTTATTCAACTGATAATTATTAATTTGCTCAACTTGAAATTATATCCAATATGTATTAAAATTATCAATAAAAATTTTTTGAAACTAATAAATATGATAAATAAATAAGTTATAAAAGGCAAAATTTAAATAATAAAGAGGAGTAAATAAAATTAAAATTTTAAATGAATAATTAATTAGTCGAATGAATTATTAATAATAAAATTTGAATAATATAATAATTCAAAAAGAGAACTTAAAATGTTAAAATGATTCTTTCAATGCATGTATAATTTATATATAAAGATTTTATAACTTCAATAAAAGAAGAAAAATCGGTGAGAGGAAGAGGGAAAAAAGAGAGAGAGAGAGAGGGAAAGAGGGAAGAGAGGGTTTGCTTCAAAAGTTTTCGAATAATATTATTCATTTAAAAGTGAAAATTAGTGATATGACAGAATGAATCATTCTGTCATATCACTAATTTTTAATGAGATTAAGACAATTGACAAAGACAATTCAAAATTCAAAATGATGTATAAACACGAAATTTCCAGTGTTTTAAATTAATAAAGTTAAGAAGATTAATTAATTAATTAATCAAAAATTATGTTGCAAGAATTTCAGAATTAATAAATTTTATTGAAAATATGAAAAATACGTAAAATAAGGAAAAATGATAAAATAATTGATAAAATATACGCTTATATAAATATATACAATCAGGAAATGGGTGGAACATTTAAAAAAAAAGATCCATATTTGCAGCTGTTTCCTATTTTTGATTATAATAATAATTAATAACAATAATAATAATAATGATAATAATAATTAGTAATAATAAATAGCGATAAAAAATTAATAATAATATAATACTAATAATCGTGATAATAGCAAATGATAGGAGTATGGATAACAGGGAAAAAAGAAAGAGGGAAAAAAGTAAAGCAAGCTATTAGTGAAATTAAACAAATTGAAATGATAGAGGAGAATAAAAAAGAGAGAAAAAAATAAAGAAAGGATAATGAAAATAGAGAATGAAAAGAATTGAAAAGAACAAGAGATCGTTTTAGTTATTATACAAATTATTCATTTTCTTTTACGCTTAAGAAGAAGAGAAAATTTGGTCTTATCTTTTTTGCATATATTTTGTTTGTTTGAAATGAATAAGACGGAAGTGGCAATAACGATAACATACAGTTTGTTGTGTGTATGTGTGTGTGTGTGAAGAGAAAGAGAAAAATTTGAATTTTATAAAATTTTAAAAGTTTGAAAAAGGAGGGAAAAGGAGAAATTAGATAACTGTTACCTAAAATGGATGATTCAAATTTAAAATAATTATAATTAGTTAAATTTTAATTGGCTAAATTTCTTTTCAACAGAAATTTTAATTTCAATTGTTTAAATTTCGCTAATATTATTGATGAGAATAGCCTAAGTAAAAAATACTTTAGCTTTAACTAATTTAAAATGGCATAATTCATAAAAAATACTTTAGCTTTAACTAATTTAAAATGGCATGACTCATCGTTGAAACATCAAATTAAAATCCATTAAAAGCTAATTTCAAATTAATCCTTATTTCAATTTAATCCTTTTATTTTAGAAAATTTTTGCTTTAAATTTATTCCGAAATATTTTCCAAATTACTAATCAATTTTCAATCTGCTGATAGTGTAAGCTAACAAAATGAATTAAGTTCCGGAACTGATATAATTAAAATAAAATCCATTCACATTATCTTATATCAAATTTATTTATTATCCTACATTAAATGAATTAAATTAAATTTAAATGCAACGAATGAAAAACTGAGAAGGAAGTAAAGATTTTCAACCAGCCGGAACTGAATGAATTCATTCAGTTCCGGCTGGTTGAAAATCTTTGCTTAAAAGTTCATTTCGATACATTTTCCAATTGTTGATCATTTTTCTTATCATGGCAGTGTAAATCAGTTTAAAGTAGCCAATTTTTCCAATGAATTATAAAAATCAAACTAAACTTAACCTTTTGTTTTCTTTTGTTTTTTTAAAACTTAATTACTGAAAATTAAAATGATATTGAAAATTCAAATTTTAAAATTCATTATTAAATTTAAATACTAAAAATGTTCGTTAAATAATTTTTCAACAACTACAAAAATCAAACTAAACTTAACCTTTTGTTTTCTTTTGTTTTTTTTAAAACTTAATTACTGAAAATTAAAATGATATTGAAAATTCAAATTTTAAAATTCATTATTAAATTTAAATACTAAAAATGTTCGTTAAATAATTTTTCAACAACTACAAAAATCAAACTAAACTTAACCTTTTGTTTTCTTTTGCTTTTTTTTAAAACTTAATTACTGAAAATTAAAATGATATTGAAAATTCAAATTTTAAAATTCAGCATCAAATTTAAATACTGGGAATGTTAAAATTGCATACAATTTAGGCTTAGCATTAAATTTGATATAACTGAAATGAAGAAAGCAACAATATTCGCAATTTTTATCCAACCTTTCTGCTAATAAATTTGATAAAATAAATGAACTTAATTTCTTTCTTCAATATTATTATTATTATTTATATTATTATTAATATTATTTAATATTATTATTATTCATTAAGAAAAACTTCATTTAACTTTCTTTTTCTCATCTAAAAAAAATTTAATTTCATACTACTTGATCGTATTCGTGATATAAAGAAAGTTGAGAATAATTGACGAATATGCTAATAAAAAAGAATTTCAACGATACCTTTCATCAAATGTTAAATCATAATATCGAAAGTTGAAAATAATTTACGAATATGTAACAAAAAAAAGTATTTCATCCAATACCTTTTACCGAATGTCAAATGTCAAATGTTAGCTTCAATAGCGCAATATTTCATTTTCATTGCTTTCTTTTAAAATGCTTAAAATAATTTCTTTTGCTTCGATAAAAAAAAGTCATCAATACCTTTCATCAAATGTCAAATGTCAAATGCTAACTTCAATAACCAATATTTCATTTTCATTGCTTTTTGTTTTAAATGCTAACGCTTAAAATAATTTCTTCTGATTTCATATAAAAAAGAAATGGTAAATTAATTTATAAAAATTTCACTATCTTATGAAACAATTTACCAATTCATTACTAATTGTTTTAAATTTGTTAAAATGGACGAATGGATAGCTTTGAAAATAATAAATTTCAATGGAACATTGAAAATATTTCGAAGAAGCAATTTTAGAAAATGAAAAATTTCTTCATTTTAGTAATCACCGATAATTAATTCCATTATTAACAGTCATTTTACAATTTATTATTATTACAGATAAATGAGAAAATTATGATTAAAAAAATGATGAGGAAAAAAATCATAATAAAAATAGATATAAAGATTATACGAAAAAAAATCATAATAAAAAAATCGTAATAAAAAGTAAAACGAATAATAAAGATTATACAAAAAAAAGAATCATAATAAAAGAAATCGTAATAAATGATAAAAAGGGATAAAAATGGATTTTAAAAAAAGAAGTAAATTAAAAACAAAATTGTGATAGAAAAGAAAAGATGAAAAAGTCATGATAAAAATGATCAGATCAAAAAATCACGATAACAAGATGAAAAGACAAAAAATCATGATAAAGAAAAATTAATTCCATCTATGAATTATAACTATTCAAAAATAACATACCTCAAATTCTTTTCGTAAAATTGGTCCAGCGCTTGCAATATATAATTTATGTGCATCATCCATTACAAGCTGAATTGGTTTTCGTTTAACCTATAAAAAAGGTGGTAAGTTTTTTAATTTTAAATTTTCCGAAATTTATTTTTAATTTTGTTTAGTATTATTTTTTGTCAATAAGAATAATATACTATAAAATAAAACAAATCAATTTTTTTAAGATTTACTTTATTTCATTGGTACGCTTCCTTGAAAATTATTTGTATTGCAATTAATTAAATAATCAATTAAAACAAGAAAAAAGTAAAAAAAACAAAAGCAAAATTAAACAAAAAAATATTAAAGTTTTTACTTTTTCTAATAGTTATGAATGAAGCATTTTCGGATTAAGTTCAATTTGAACAAAATATTTTAGGATTAATTTTAATTATTTAATTAAATTCCAATTGTTTTAGGCCAATCATTCTTTTCTCGAAATAGCACTTATTAGCCATAAATTAGTAAATTAATAGAATTTTTTGACAACAAGCAAAATTTCTAGATCAAATCATAACATATCCTAAAAATTAATCAACTAAAATTTACAAATATCATAAACCAATAAATTCAGTAAACAATTTCAACTAATCAAAAAAACACCTGTCGAGTTGCAAAACGTATACATCGAAAATATAATACAATATTATCATCTTGAATTTCCAATGCAAATTTTGTCCAATCTTTTGTAAATTCTGGCACCAAAAATGATGCTAATGCTTTTGTATCGGTTTCTTTATTTGAATCAGTATAAAGTAATGAGATATTTGTTTGGCCATCACCTGAAAATATCAAAAAAGAAATATCAAAAAGAAAAAGACAAAAATTAAATTTTAAATAAAAAGAAAGAAATCATTTCCAAAAATTAATATTCTAATTTTTAGGTTATTTATTTAAAAAAAATATATTTGTTTGTTTGTTTACTTTTCTTTCCTAAAATTTTTTTGGAATAAAATAATTCAACGAATAAAAATTGAAAATTTAACAAATAATAAATTTTGGGTTTCTATTCTTTTTGCCATTACAAAAATATAACAAATTTGATGAAATAATTTTTTTAAATATTAAAAATGGATCGAAGTAAAATTGGAGGTAAAGATTCTAACCAGCCGATTCAACCAAAACACCAAGATCAACAATAGTATCAAGAGGATTAACAACAGCAAACAAATATCCTCCTTGACGATCATCCGGTCGTATAACTGCCGTAAATGCAAAATTTCGGAAAAATTTCCGCGGGAGGTACTGTCGATATGGTACAACAATTTCCACACCACGCTACAATGAAAAAATTTATTTGAAAATTAATTTGTAAAAATTAATTACCATAATTATGTAAATGTAATTTCTAATCCTTCATTATAAAATTCAACATTATAAAATTCAACATTATAAAATTCAACATGTTCAATCCTTAATTTGATAAAAACATAATTATCGAATACCCTATGACATATTCGATTGTTTCTCAACAAATAATATTTTTCAATTCATCGTTGTTATAAAATATTTCAATTTAATATTTCCAAAAAATTAAAAGTATGAAATTTTTTAATTCTAAAAATTGCGTTCCTCAGAAATATCATTTCAGATAAAACCATATAATTTTTTAAAGTTACCTTAATTCCAACAGCGGGAAATCCTTCAAGACCTTTGGCTTTGTAAAGTTCTGCGCGTTCATTTAATAAACTTTTCACTGGTACCAAAAGATCAATATCTGATTCAGAATCTGAAATTTTGAAGAAATGAATTTTCATTACTATTTAATTTATATTTTTAAAATATTCAACCTAAAAATTTATCAATTTTAGTTCGTTGGAAATTATCTATTTCGGAATCAATTTATAATGTTTTAATTTTAGCATATCAATTCGAATTATTATCTTGCAGAAAATTTTTAAATTAATCATAATTTTTGTAATTTTGAAAACTTATATTTACTAAGCTTTAATCAGTCATTTTTTCTTTCTATCAAAGTTGCATAATTTTACTTTCAATACTGTATTCTACTACTAAATGGTTGTGAACATTACCATAAAATGAAATGCATCAAAATTTGAAAGATTTAATTTTAAATTTTACAGAAGAAAAATTCAGTTCTAATATCGTTGTATAGAAAGAAAAGCAATTATATCATATTATAATAAATCAAACAAATGAAGTCAAATTGATCTTAAAACCGGAAAAACTGTTTTCTTTAGATTAATATTGAAGAATCAAATTAAAACATTTAATAAGCTTCCAAAGAAATTTATGATGAAATAAATAATTCTGATATGGAGTTATAATCGGAGAGTTCATCGGATCTTATCACGTTAATAAACTAAAGGGCCAAAGTTAAATATCTATCAGGAAATAGAGAATTTGAATGTGTTAGAATTTGCTGATTAACATTTCAAGTATCATTCAAATATAGTGAAATTCAAACTTTTCATCTTGTCGTGAATTATTTGATGTATTTGTTTTAAGTTAATTAATTCAAACGTTGTAATATATTTTGTTAATATCATATCTTACTCTAATTTGTTACTTTTGAAAACATTAAAAGGAATATAGCAAATAATAGTTTGCTAAAAATTTAAATCACAATTTTACAATACATTTTTGATTCCTAAAAAAAAAAACAAATACCGGATTCTGGATTAATTTTAGTTCCAATTCAACTCTTTCTGTTTCTCATACACAATCTGATATTCAAAAGCCATTTCAAATTTCCAAAATTATTAAGATATAATAAAAAAAAGAAACAAATTCTGTTTTTGCTATAACGGAAATGAAACAATGTGAATTGGAAAGCTGTCAACAATTATGCAAATTTCTTTTGTTGTTTTCGGTAAAATCAAAAAAGAAATAAAATTCATTACCAATGAAATTCATTATAATCAAAAAGAAAGAAAAATGTAAATGATGATTTCAATCGAAAAATCATCGTTTTTAAATCAAAAATTGCATGTTCAAAAGAAGTAGTATGTTAAGTTAATTAGCAATTTCAACGATTGCTTATTTCCTATTAATTTCGTTTCCTAAAAATTAAAGGAATCACTTATCACTTATCACTTCTAACAATTAATTCATTATTATTAATCCGTCATTACATATATTATTGTATATATTGGTTGTCTATTTAACATAACAATTACTTTGGAAATAATATTGAGCTAAATGATAATAGTAATAAATGTTTAATATTTTTATCAATGATAATGACAGCCATTATATGCATATATATTATTATATCGTTCGTAATGAAATGACGGATTAATATAGTACTGAATTAATTATTAGAAGTAATAAATGATTTATAATTTCTATTAATGGACCACAATAATATTGAATTATACAATTATTTCATTATCAATATAATTATTGCTATTGAAAAATAAATGAAAATTATAATCATCGATCATTTTATCAAAACAATTAAACACTTATCATTTCTAACAATTAACTCGACTAATAATTATTAATTATTATTAACAGTTATCATTTAGTTATTATCAAATATACATTGTCCCTTAATTTTGCTTTTTTTGCATAAATTTTTACTATTATTTCAATATTTTTCCAAAATAGATAATTTATATGAAAGCTATAAGTCAGACAATTTTTTATGCGATATGCTATTATAATTCATCGTCTTATGGTATCTGAAAAATTTTTGACTATAAAATTTTTTGGCATTTAGCGTAAAAATTGCCTATTGGGATTTAATTGTAGTGGAATAAATTGATACGATCGCCTTTCCTTCTATCTTTCATCTTTTCCATATTTTAATAGCATTGATAATAATTTTAGTTCATTTATTAATAAAACAAAAGAATTCAAAATATTGCAATAAAGTATACAAACAAACAAAAATATATTCGTTTTAAAATTTATACAAATGCAATATTATATAATTATTTTTACTGATAAATTTCAACATTTCATCTAAGGAAAAAGAAATTTTTGAAATAATTATTTATTATTTTTTAGCCTTACAATAGCATCTACATCTGTTATTAGCTTATTGCATTAGCAATTTATTTGCTACTCTTATATTTTTATGTTATTATTAACTTATTATACTAATGATTTATTTGCTGCTCTTATATTTCTGTTTAACTTATGCTAATAATTTATTTGCTACCCATATATTTCTATGTTATTTATTTCTCGACAACAATCAGTAAATATATTCCAATATATCATCCTGTCACTTTTTTTTTGAAAAAAGCCAAGAATACAAATATTTCGAAATTTAAAATAAACATTCATAAATGTTGAATTTGAAATGGAATGAAATAATCTCAAGAGATTAATAATTCTTCAAATATTTTATTTTTCACCATGATATCAGCTATTTATTAAAAAATATTTCACAAAAGAAAAATGGAAAAATTGAGGAAAGAAGTAATAGAATTAAATATTAGAATTATTAGAAGTATTGTGTATTTGAATTATAAGTAATTATGTATTTGAATTATAAATAATTTTAAATTGTAAAAAAGAATTAGATGAAGAAGAGAAAGATTAAATAAGAATTTATAAATAATTATATATTTGAATTATAAATAATTATATATTTGAATTATAAGTAATTATGTATATGAATTATAAGTACTTCTAAATTCTAAAAAGAATTAAATGAAGAAGTGAAAGATTAAATAAAAATTTGTTAATAATTTTATATTTGAATTATAAGTAATTATGTATTTGTATTATAAGTGATTATGTATTTGAATTGTAAATAATTTTAAATTCAAAAAAAAGAATTAAATGAAGAAGGGAAAGATTAAATAATAACAATTCAACAATACAGAAGTAAGTTCAATTAGTTTACTTTTCAATTTCTTTGTTTAAATCAAATTTAATTTTATTTTACCATTTCGATCTGATAAACTCATTTAGGAATAATTTCAAAAAACAAATTGCAAGTAATACATAAAAGAATATCTTTCAAATTTAATTTAATTCAAATTATCAATAGTAGCTTTTTTTGCCCTATTCAAATTTACTTATAGATGAAGATGAAGAAAGTTTTATAATTTGAATTTTTAATTCTTTCAAAAATTTCATAAAGCCATCTTCGAAGCTAAATGACCTAATTTATCTAAAAGTTTTTCTTAAAAAAAATAACCCTTTGAAATAGATTCTTCTTCTCATAGAGCTATTTAATTTTTCAATTGAAAATGAATAAATCGACAAAGAACTTTTATATTTTTTAATTTAAAAGCTAGCTGTCACAAATGAAAAAAAGATAGTGAAAATTTCTGCAAATGAATTTAATTCTTATTAATTATTAATTTCATTTCTTTTCATCATTTCAATTTCCAATTTTTCTCTTTCTTTTTCTGTTAATGAAAAAAAGCTTTCATTTGAAAAATTTGAAATATTTTTTTATAAATGATAATGAAATTAATTAATTTAAGAAAAAATAAAAACAAAAGATATTGCAACTATTCGATGATTTATATATTTTTTTTTTGTTGATAAATAGTGTTTCAATAAGTTTATTTATCATTTTTATCTTATCTCATTTATCACACTTCAAAAAAATGATAAATAATAGTGGATAGAAGAAGTAAAAGAAATTATTACAAGTGTACTGCTGAATAAATTTATTTCATAATAGAATAAAATATCATTTACTGATTATAATTTACTCAATAATAGATTATAATAATTGCATTTGTCGCATTACAACAATAATATATTAATTGAAATATTATTTACTGAATTTGATATACTCAATAATAGATTGCACTAATTATATTTATTTCGTTATAACGATAATATATTAATTGAAATATCAGTTAGTGATTGTAATTTACTCAGTAATAGATTGCACTAATTCCATTTTTCATTATAACGATAATATATTTGCTCAATAATGGATTATACTAATTATAATAATTTACTCAATAATAGATTATAGTAATTATATTTATCATTATAACGATTATATATTAATCAATTATATTTACTGTTAAATTAACTTTCTCTAATTTTCCCAATAACTTTCTCTAATTGTGAAAATTCAGCAAATGACAAAAATCTATGAAACTAATAAATTTGGCAAGAAAAATTTCTAAAAATTGATATATTATTTTTTCTCAATTCTTTTTAATCCATTCCAAAAAGCTAAAATTGTTAATATCATTTTTTGCACGTTCATGAATTAATCAATATTTTGCAAAAAAAAAAAATTCAAAAAAACTTTATTTTTCAAATTTTCATTTATCCTAAAATTCAATCGATACATTTTATTTTTTCTCTTAGCTTATAAGTGGGCAATTTTAGATTTATTCCCAAATCACTAAACATTTATAAGCTTAATTAAATTTCTTAAATTTAAATTTAGGATTTAAAAAAGAAAAGTTCATTTCATTTATTTTCTTTGAATTCATTTTTTTTCCTTTGTTTTGTTTTAAATTTTTTTTTTCATTTAACTAATTCATTTAATTGTTTTTCGCCACCACAACATTCATTTCTATTTTTTCATTCTTAAAATCAAAATAATTTATGATTTTTTGAAAAACTTTTTATACTATTTTTTTTCTTTCTCCTACTTCTCCCTCTTTCTTTTTCATTCTCTTTCTTTCTAAAACAAAAACGAAAGAACAAAAATAATTTCAAAAACAGAGAGAGAGAGAGAGATAGGGAGAAAGAAAAGAAACAAAAGATGAAGAACAATCGGAAATATTTTGTTAATTGTTAATTTCACTTTAAATTACTAATTAAAACAAAACTTCTTTTTTCCCACTAATGAAAATAA